CTTATTAGCCTTAGTCCTTTAAAAACTAAAGCCAATAAGCTTTGCAGAAGATAAACGTGGTAAGTTTATTTTTTAAATGGTTTCCAAAGATTTATTTATTACCTTTATGTATTAGAAAAATTATTGAAATGTCTAAAAATATATTTAATTCACAGAATTACATGTATGGCGAGTGTTTAGTTGATTTATTTTAATAATTTTAATAAAAAGAAATACAAGTATACACTTATCATAAATACAATTAATTCAATCTTTATTCTATACATTAATTTTCAATTTCACCTAAATAGATTTGTTTGTCACTCGAACCAGACACAATAACGGGTTCATTTGGATGAAAATCTACGTCATTAACACTGCCATTATGGCCTGGCAACTTGTACAATATTCTTCTACTATTTGTATCCCAAATATAAACAAATCTATCAGCAGATCCTGCACTTACTTTACTTCCATCAAATGACCAAGCACATCTTAGTAGATTCTTTTCAAAATTGTGTTGATTACCTAAATTGTTCAAAAATGTAACTATACTATACATTTTTTCTTATTTAAGATAAATAAATACTAATTCTGAGTTCCAGACTTTTAAGTTAAGCAATGAGTTTCAAGAAAAACATTGTGAAAAATAGGTAATTTTTGTGGACTGATGGTACCAATTTCAATTAGAAAAAGCTTCTTTTCAATTCAATACAAAGTAATTTATATTATACCTGTAAGCACTTTAATACACCTGTCCTGTGGAGCATATGGACGAATATCCCAAATCCTTAAACTATTATCCATTGAATTTGTAAGTAAGTATGAACCATCTGGGCTAAGAGATACACCAGTGATAGTATCAGTATGACCCCTCATTGTGTATAAAATTTCATTTTTTCTTACATCCCACACTTTTACTTCGTTATCTATACTGCCACTGAATATTTGTTCAGCTGTATCATTAAATGTAACAGCAGTTACCTAATATAATAAAACATTTTAAAGAGCTACATATTTAAAATAACATTATGCTTACAGGTTGAGACGCATTTAGGGAATTGACAAAATTCTTTTTTCGAGTATCCCACAACTTAATTGTGGCATCATCACTTCCAGAAACTAATGTCTGTGGACCCCTTCGCACACCTTAAAAATTCAATAAATAAGGAAGTTACTTTTTACATTCTAATATGTATATGTCTATAAATTTACCTTGAACTGTATTTACAAAAGTAGTATGACCTTTATATTTCTTAATCCTTTGACCACTACAAATATCCCACAACCCCAAGGTGTAATCAGTACTTGCAGTAAAAATGTGTGAGCCATCGGGAGTAAAATGAAGTTCCATTACTGCTCCTGTATGTCCAGTTAAGACTGAAATATTCTCACATTCTCCATACACATTCCACAAAACTAAAACAATAATTGTAATAAAGGGAGAAGTTAATTTCTTACAACATAATTCGTACAAATTTTTCTATCAAAACCGGAGGAAGCTAAGTATTGTCCTTCAGGATGAAATTCTACAGTAAATATTTCCCCTTCATGTCCTTCTAAGAGCATAATTGGCGAAAAAAGATTCGAAGTTCTTGTTGTTGTCTAAAATAGTAATAAGTTATTGTAATAAATAATAGAGGAAAATAATTTACTTTAAGTTTAACTTACAACTTCTACAACAGCTTTGTTTTTGTTACTAGTTGTAGCAACTTCATTTCTGGTTTTCTTCACTACAGGAACTAAAGCAGATTCATCTGCTTTACGTTTGCTTTTTACAACCATTTTCAGTTAACTTCTACTTATTGTTATTAACAAATCGCTGCTTATTGCAAAACATTTACAAAACGAAAATCTAAGGGGTTAGGGTCGTTAGGGTTATTAGTTATTATCTATTATCTATGGTTATTACCCAGCTATAGTTAAAGATAGGAGTTATCAGGTAGTATCCATAGATAATGTTGCTCGCATTTCAAATAATGATAAATGTGTCTCTATTGCCACTCTTAACGACAGAAATAAATTATAATTGGTATTCACTTCTTACAAAACATTAAAAAAAAAATATATAATATAAAAAAATAGGTTTTCATGGTCGAAATCCATAGTAGGATTAAGATTTGGACTGATGGGAAGTAGTTGAAATTTCGAAGTGAAGAGTTGGGTCCTAAGCAATACTCTTTTCTTTTATAAGAAGTGAAAAAAGAAAATTTCAAGAATTCCTATAAAACCATAGAACAATAATTTATTTATACTATTATTTTTTTTTTGGCAACAATGTAAAATATAGCACGTGAATTAAACTGCGCGTGCGTTTGTCAACTTCGAATAGTTTACATCATTTGAACAGCGGTGAGTTTGTTGAATATCGAGAATTTCTGTAAATATACATAGAAATATTTGTAGGTGTTTACTGTTTTGCACATGGTATACTTTGTAACTTAAAATTATTAGTTATTTATTTTCAAAATTCACAAATGGCAAACGACAGTGGTGATAGTAAGTGTCCTACAGGCACAGAAGCGGGAGATTCCCCAGGAGAAGGTATAAACAATAGTTGTAATTAAAGATGACATTAATATGTTTATTTGGATAATGTTGTATTTGTAGAAGGGCAGCTTTGTAGTGTCGCACTAAAGGATATTTTTTTGTCTTGTGATAAACAAAATGTTGGTTCAGCACATGCACAAAGCTTGATAGAATTTGTGACACCTTTCTTATCAAATAATACGTAAGAACTTCTTACATTTTTTTCTTTTTTTAGCTTGTTAGTGTTTTTTTATGTTAATAGTGTTATTTACTTAGTATATTATAATAGCATATTCATACATGTTGGTAGTGGTAATGAAAATAATAAGCAACTTGATTAACATAGTTAACTTTAGTAAATTTTGTAGGATGGAATTGATGTGTTTAAAGAACTGTTTAGATCCTAACAATGATAATCCATTAATAACAGAGGAACAGTTTTTTCATAAGATGCAGGTATGGATATCAAAAATAAAAACCATGAGCATTAGTCCTGAGAAAAAAGGGTTAGTATTATTTATTGGTAATTACTTTTGATTGGATTTACTCATAAATTATGTTCTCAGGAACCTTGAGGCTGTTTCATTTCATCAGTTTTCATCAACTGAAAATGGACCATGCAGTCAATTTCTTAAAAGCAATGCTGAATCTGGTCTGTTAAATTTGTCTGGTGCATCATCTACTAGTCTGGGGAATGGTAAAAATAAATAAGATATATGATTTATTTGTTGTGTTGTTGGTAAAACACACTTTCTACACAAATTGGTTCTTAAAGACAGATCTTAAACTTTTTATGCTATCCAAAACATATTAAATTTTTGTTAAAATCAATGCAGTTAAACCCAGAGAAAAAAATATTTATTTTTTTAAGCCAGTTCACTGGTTTATGTTATTACTTAATTATTATAAAAGTATACAGTAAGAGTCAAATTCTGCTGTGAAAAAAATCACAGTAATTGTATTCCTATCCTTATAACATTTTACAAATTATGAAAAATCACAGTAAAAAATTTCATAATTATAAATTTGCCTTCTTTAACTATAGAAACAATGAAAATGTAGGCTTTTGCTGCCAATATCTGTCTCTTGAGCTAAAATATTTGTATTGTCTGGACTGTGTAGATGTGTAATAAGTATTTTAACTCAAAATATAAACAGTACTTAAGCAATACATAAAGTAAAGTTTAAAAATTTTAATTTCTTGACCATTAGTATGTAAGTACTATTAGGTGACTGGTTCTAAGAGTGATCATCTAACAGATACTTATTACTATACTTAAATAAATTGGTAGTTTGATCTGAATAATTAATTAATAAATCTGCTAGATTTCGTTATCTTAATTGCTAAGTGTATTAAAAAAGTTTTTACTTCTACATACTTGTACCAAAAAATGAAAGTTAGACTTATTATAAATTAAGATGTTTAAATGATGTTGAAATTCTTAAACTTCATCTTATTTATTGCCTTTCCTTTTCTATTTAATAATTGTGAAGAACTAAAAAATTTTAATTTTAAAGACCCGAGCGTTATACCTGTTACAGCATTTCAAGAAATTGCTAGCTTGCAGGAGGCTACACATGAATTGGAACATCTAAATCGAAAACTTCAAGAAGAATTAACATTAATTAAATCGCAGTTAGCTGCTAGTGAAGAACATAATGAGTTACTGCAATCTGATTTAAAAAAAATTAATAATAAATTATTAGCGTAAGTTCCCTTATTGGTTTCTTATTTTAAAATTTTATTGTAACCCTTTTAATCGTTTATTTCATTATATAACTTTCTTTAGAGAACAACATTTGAATGAACAACTTCACGCAGAGAGAAAAGAAAATGAGGAGCTAAGAGAATGTTCTCAAGGACTAACTAAAAAAATTGAATTACTTGAAAAATCATTTTCATGTGTTGAAAGAGAAAATGGAAATATTAAGCAAAAACTTGAACTTTTAGAACAAGAGGTAAACATCGTTCTTTGTGAATTTAATGATGATTAATACAAATACATTTACGTTTTTTTATTTCATTTTTGCTTTCTTTTGTGTTTTTACGTGTAATTGTGAATGTATTGTTATGACGTCATACAGGAAGTACAGGGTGTTCATTATTCATTACTGCGTTATTTTTAAAAGGGAACAAATTGAAATATCGATTTCATTTTGTGTTTCTTTTGGGTAAACTTAATGATTAACATTTTTGTCATGTTTCTTTATCAAATAGCAGCATCTTTTTGATATATAATATCGTACTACTCGGTATGTGCGTATGTGGAACTATAAGAGTAACTTCGTGGATACAACAGAAAAGAATAAGCGGAAGTTAGGGAGATCAAAGCGTATGCTATTCGATACTGCATACAATTTGCGTTTGAAAATTCAAAGAGAAAAAGAAAGAAGGCACAGCTGTCAACCGTTCGATCTGATAACTTAGGTCTTGAACAGCACAATGCATTTTGCCATATAGCTTACGTTGTGATATTCTTATTTTACTCGTTACTGATGTAATGTAATTTTACTTTACCAACAATAATGTAGAAGTAAAAGAATCCATTTGTTTTTACTTACTTTAATTTTTTTCTGTAATAGTGGTTTTTGTTGTGTTTTTAGAATCAAAAGTTAGAAGATAAGTTAGAACAGGCAAGAAACAGGGAACTGGAAAAAGAAAAGACCATCATTAAGATGCGGACGGAATATGATTTTAAAGAAGCAGTCATAGCGTCTCTCGAAAAAGCTGTACTCGAAATGCAAGAAAAATTAAAAGAAAATCAACAAATTATCGAACATCATGTTGAAATAAACGAAGTAAGTATTGTTTTAATAGACTTCAGTTATTAATAATGTAAGAATAAATTACATACGCAACCATTATTAAACTGTTTGAGAGATGTATAAGAAAATCTATTACATACAAAACAAAATATTTCGTTCTATTGATAATAATAGGAAATAAACTTTATTTTTATAAATTACATTGCCCTTACATCAAATATACATCCCACTAGTAAAAAGTTGTTTCTAATTGTAAAGAAAGCCATATTTGTATGCAAATACAGAATTTCATTCTCTGTTACATACATTAATTCTTACTGATTTTTTTCAATTAATTGCACGGTAAAATAAATTTTGTCGTTCGATCTTTCTGAAAGAGAGAATTAAAACTTGTTTTTATGACTCCCTCTCAACAGTATAATGTCTGCACGCTCGGAGAAGAGCGGGAGGGTTGTTTGCGTAATTTATGAACAATTGTATATTACTTATTGAGCGTTAGTATAAAATAAAAATTAAAATGTAAACATGAAAAAGATTTATTATAAAGTCTGTCGAAAGTGGTTCGGGATCTTTTTCAACTTTTTGTTTTTTTGTTCCAGTACTTTACCAATTATTATCAGCTAATATAAAATAAGAAACTCAAAATAATCAACCAAACAGAACGGATTTTTCTTGATGAAAGCTAAAAATAAGCAAATCGGGCTAAACTGTAATACAGAAAATAAATTCGTATTCTGATTGGGTGACTTGAATTTTCACTAATTAAAAATCACATAATTTATCTTTTGAAATCTAAACATTGTATACATGCAAATGCATATTTTTTATACTGTAAAAATTACCCTATTAAGAATTCGTGGTTTAGTAGTTGAATTTCTTCTTTTAAGGGTCTCAAAGTGGAAAAAATTACCCTGGAAAAGTTGTTACGAGGACAGTTGTCTCAAACCTACATTATTCCTTCAACTCCACCTAACCCGTTAATCTCAAGTTCTTCAGGTACAAAAAATTTAAATAACACACCAAATAGTGGTCTACATATAGTACATCAAAAACAGCAATCGAATCGTTTTCCAAATTCTCCAATTACCGCTTTCATACACCACGAGGCAAAAGTTTTCAACAGTCCGAAATTGAAAGAGATGCTTGAGAATCCGGTCAGTCCAAATTTAAGCAAAACTCCCAGTCAAATAAATAAACCTTTAGATTCAAACACTTCCTCATCGTTCGAGAAGAAACTCGAAGAAAATGATACGGTAAACAATGATCAGATATCTTTTCATCCCAAACTGAAACAAAGTGAATCGACATTTTTCAAGAAATATCGATTAGTCGGTGAACCAGAATCAGGACCAACAATTCCACTTCCACAAAAGTCAGACAAATTACGTCAACCAAAATGTAAAGGTATACGGTTACGAGGATGAAGTGTGATTGTTTCAGAAAAACTTTTATAATAAATAACTATGCTTACACAAAATTCATCATTGTTTTTTTTTAATAAATTTCATACCTACGATGAATTTTTTTAATATTGTAGATGCGGAATTAAAGGCTGCAACTGGTGATTCCCCACTGAAAAATAACTCGACTAGCTCTATATTTCTTCATGATACAAGCAGCGAAGATGATTTATTTTCAAAAATGCCATTAACTGAATCCGCGATGACCACACAACACTCATTACTATATGAACTATCTCAGGTATAAGCTTATTTTAACAGTAAAATAGTTAAAGTCTTGTTGTTTTCACTCTCATAACAAGGGATATGAGATAAACAAATAATTTTTGTTTTTGTATTCAATTCTGTATACACAGTTTTTAAATTTTTATTTTATGTAAAAGAGCAGTAAATCATATACTTGGGTATGTAAAGCAAATAATTACAATATTTAAACTATGTACATATTTTTGAATGTATACAAACTACAAATTCACATATTTTAGGTAAGCAAAGAAAATGAAGTTAATAACAATTCGAAAAACATTCTTGATCAAATGCAAGAAGAAAATGATGATTTAAAAAGGCGTTTGGAGGTTTGTACTGAAGAGTTGGAGGAACTTAAAAAAGAACTTGAACTCATCAAACTAAGTGAAACGGAAACTAATAAGGAAAATACTAATTTACGAAATGAAGTCAAATTGCTCATAGAAGAAAAACTTGACTTGAAGTGTTTGAACGAAAATAATTGTTCTTATATATTAGAATTAGAAGAAAAAATTAAAAATATCGTTAAACACGAAGAAATGTTGGCAATTGAAATTAAAGAAATAAAAGAACAGAAAAACATCCTAAATCAAACGATTTTAGATAACGAACACAAGAATAAAAATCTTATTGCGGAACTGGGTAAATTAAAACACGACTTGCAATTAAAAGAATGTGCCACAGAAAATCTTGAACACGAACATCTTAGCTTATTGGACTCATTCGATAATCTTAAAAAAGAATATGACGAACTGAAAATATATTTTGCAGAAAAACTCAATGAAACGTTAAAAGAAAAAGAAAATCACATTGAACTACTTAAAACTGAAATGAAAATTCTGAACAGCAGGTTAAACGAAAATTCAAAAGCTTCTGAAGAAAATCGAAATAGCCTTTTAGAAGAAATTAGCGAATTAAAAATCACAATTGCTACAAAAGAAGAAACTATCTGGGAACTAAAACGTCTTGTTCATAACTTAGCTAAACAATTGGATGATGACAATTTAATAAAAAAACAAAATGCATTTTTTGTGCTTTAAAAATACCCACATTAAAAAATAATAAAATTTACTTAAGATATGCAAACAAGTGGTTTTTTGTTAAGCCATACATTTGATTTAAGTTTTTGCACTTTCTTACCTTTATTTTCTTTCGTTCCTAATGCAATATATTCCGTGATATCCAGTTGTTCTTTAAAACGCCTATAAAAATTGAGAACATCAGGATTGGCATAAACTTGTGAAGATTTCATGTCTAAAACCCTCAAAGTTTCTAAGCTTTGCGCTCGGGAAAGAGCCACATAGGCTTGGCCAGCTTCAAAAACTCTGGACAAAGACATCTCCACACAATCCAAAGTCAAACCTTGAGACTTATGAATAGAAAAGGCCCACGCAAGTTTTAACGGTATCTGTTTTCGAATAATTGTACCTCCGTGTATGGATTTCACCATCCAACGTTCATGTTTTGCTACATAGTCTTTGTTATTACGAAACTTGACAACTGGGAGCCCCTCCCGAAAACCTGCCACAACACCACGAGCCCCATTTACCAAACCGGACGCGATATTTATATTTTTCATAAGCATTACTTGAGCGCCAACTTTCAATACTAATGTTGAAGGTACTGTAGTTTGTTGGTCTAAAATGTAAGACATCGATTTATCACTGTCTTCTGCTTCAAATACTTTAGAGTCACCAGGAAGATTACTTAATTTTGATTGATTGATGCTGTCTGCATCTTGGGTATGAGAACACAATCTTGTTGCTAAAATTCCATTTTGTTCAATGACCTGCTTTGAGGTTGCCAAAAGTTTCTCTGAAATTTCCGAAGTTATGTTCCCCACACGAATATTATTCAGGATGTCGATAAATTTCATATCATTTTGCCTGTGAACCTGAGTTAGCTCATAGCTTATTTGGATACATTTTTTCCACACGGGGGTTTGAAAACAAAAACGCACTTTTGGAATTTTGGAATTTGCATCCTTTTTTACAACAGGAGGAAGTTGAAAAAAATCACCGCAGAGTATAAGCTGGATGCCACCAAAAGGTTTGTCATTTTTTCGAATGTATCGAGCCACTGCTTCTATTTTCTGAAATTTATTGCTTGTAACACATAGGTATTTAAACTACTTTAAACAAAGTAAAATTACTTTATAAAGAATTATCTCAAATACATCATCTTACCTCAAAAAAATTGCCATCAATCATAGAAATCTCGTCAATTATGAGGTGTTTACAACGTCGCCAGACCCTTGCAGCTGCTGGTTTTGAAGCTTTATCATAACAATTTTCTAAAGTTGCTTCTCCAGAACCTATTCCTGCAAATTGATGCAATGTTGTACCCCCAATGTGGCAAGCTGCTACTCCTATACAATAATAACATAATAAGTTATTGCTGAAATTAATTGTGTTCTAATATATAACACTTTGTATTCATAATCTAACAACAATAAAATAACGGTAAATCTGGTATTTTAAACTTAGAATACAAAAATTAAAATAAAATATGTGTATACCTGTAGATGCAGTTGGATAAGTTACATCTGGTGGTAAAGCAGCAATAATTTTCTTCAAGAGAAAACTTTTTCCTGTCCCAGCACTTCCAGTAAAGAAAACATTTCTTCCTGAAAGACAAGCATCCAAGACTTTTTTTTGTTCATCGGTTAATTCTTGATTAGGAAGAGGAGATGGTGCATACAGTTTTTTAGCTGCAGGTGCTTTATGATCATGATTTGTTTCAGATTTTTTTCTTTTCCTGCTTGAAGGTGATGGTGTAGTATCAGTACCTCTAGACAACTTTTCCTTGGCATTGTCTATTTCAGCATTTGTAACAGGACTTATTTCTTCAAATGACCTTGGTTTATTGCTCAATAACTGAGCTCTCAAAGAAAGGTTGTTATTCGAAATGTTTTTTTCTCCAGTCATTTTCACAAATATCGTTTTTAAAAATCCAACTAGTGCCGAAGGGGGAGCATTAGAAAGAAATAATGTACAACGCTCTTCAGGAAATTTAATAGATGCTTTCCCATCATTCATAAATTTATTGTGAACCACTATTCCTTTAACTTCTAGTTTAGTTGAAGCTGTTGACTTGCCTGTTCCAATTTCAATGAACATTTTTCGAAACTCATTACGAATTATTCGTACATGACCACTTTTATATGCAATTTTTCGTCCAGTCGTTCCTTGGGGCGTTTGCCATTCTAAATTAATCGAGCACGAAATCAAATTTTCGTTCGAATTCATACTGCAGTAAATAACTTATTCCGTCACAAAAATGAATAATAAACAACTTCATTAACATATAAGCTTATTAGGAAACTATAAACAAGAATTGATTAACTTCATTCTTACAGAAAATTAAAAAAAGACTTATTTTTACACATCACATCTTTACGATGTGTAATACAGGTACAACATAACCATAGATAAACATAACCATAATTTTTATTGTCAAACGGTAATCAATTTAAAAATTCAAAATGTATAACAAACAATTCAGCGCTGCCATATCGTTTTAAATCTTAAAATTAAGTAGAATCAGAAACAAATACAATAAAAAAAAAACTGGGAGTATGAAAGCAGTGAGTTTAAAAAGTTTTCTAAATGCTCTTTATACTTATTCTAGTAATTCTGAACATTTATAATCACACCAACGGTTAGAGAAAATTATTTTGGTGATTAAACTCGACTCTATCGCATTTTCGCCTATTTCTTTGTAATATGAAAGGAAATGTTTTTAATTTTAAATGTTTCAAGGTATAACTCTATAAATTGCCCTATATTAAGGACAAAACAAAAAAAGACTAATTAGTGGAAACGTAAAAAGTTATCATTAAGCCTTAGATATAAAAAAATAGCAAAAAAAATCTGGTTTGACAATCAAAATAAGTATATTCATCTATA